GCACAAGGGACAAGGGATGAGATTCACACGGCCTCCTTATTGCATCTCCCTGACAGCCAGCAGGGCCTCCATTGGACATGGTGGATCATCCCTGCTGATTCTCCCTGGAAGCTGGCAGGTCATCTACCAGTTCCAGGGAATGGAGGCCATAATGCTTTCTCTTGATCCTTTATGTCCAGCAGGTTCGCCACTCTTAGCCTTCTAATTTTTGTGGAATTCTAGAATTATCATTCTCTGTGGGCTTCAAGTTCAGATCCTTGTTGTGTCCATGAGATCCACCTCTCTCCTCCTTCTCTTCTTCACATTGCTATATTCAGGGTTCTGGACACCAAAACTTGGAGAGGTTTTTTTCCTCTGTGCTCACCACCCTACCATTTTCCCAGAGTTCCAGAAGAAAAGTTTGAGAACATCAGGATATGAAATTGGGACTCAGAAAAGGTTTCAGGATAAAATTGTGAAGCATGTTCCAAGTGAGCTTTAAACTGATGAGTAAACAGGCACCTTGTGTTGACCTATGTGAAATTCTTTAGTTTTGCTGGCTGGGAGACATTTGTTATTTCCAGTGTCACTTTTTCAACTACTTGCAATTGTATGCTATTGAGATTAAAAATGGACTCTACACTTGTTTCTGAGCAAGCATTCTCCATGACATAGTACTTATATACTTCTTCAGCTAAATTTGAATGCCAGTATAACGTCCATTCTGCTCTTAGTATCAACATTTTGCCTAAGGGCTCAGTTATCACAGATATAAATACTTGTGAAGGGATTACCTTTTCTACTAAGTTGTACAGTCCCTAAAGGCTACAATATGCCATCATTCACTGGGAAACACGAAACAAAGAGAGTTAAAGAGAAGAATACCCAGCGTATTCTACTCAGATGAAGGATTGTGGCAACCAATGAATTAAATGAGAGTAGCTCCAAAAAAATAGGACTGGTAATGACACTTAAGAATGAGATAGGTTTAGATCCACATTGGGCCTGAGGACAAAAGTCATGGAGTGCGGTCACCATTAGAGACACTTTGCATGGTGCCAAGTTTTGGAGACCCCTACAATGGGTCTCATCTCTCCCCTCGTTTATGGAGCACAGTGTGAAAGGAAAGAAAGAAAAAGAGAAAAAGACAAAATAGACGAGTGCATAGCAGGGGTTTAGGACCATCAGCTGTTCTCTAGGAATAAAGAACATGATGCATCCACACTCTTGGTATTTATTCCTTAAGTCTGAGTCAAATATCATGGGTGAAGGGCAGGGATATTTCTAGGGGAAGTAATGGCAACTAGATTACTACAGTGGGCTAGGAAGATCAAAACACTTTTGCAAGGACAAAGACAAAAATGAAATTTTTGCGAGTACCTTATCCTGTTTAGCAGGTCTAATATGCCCTGTGAGGGCCACAGCAGTTATTAGTCTTAGGGCTTCCAGGTGTGACCAGAAAAAAATGAGTTTCCACATTTCAGTATGGCCCAAAAGCCCAAGACAAGGAGAGCCTAGGAGAGACATTAGGCAGTTTCAGTTTGTATTTTCCAACAGTCACCAGTGAAAGTCACAAACCACAGGCCACAGTGGAGCCCAGAATTCCCTGTGAGAGCACATTCTTCTTCAGGCTACCCACCTGGGTCTGCCATGCTGAAGCTTGACCACTGCTTGCAAAGCTGAATCTTTTCCCACTCCTGCTGCTTCTGTGGCGTTATCATTTAGTCAAATGTGAATATGTCCTTTTCTTTTGCTGTGAGACATGCACCACAATGTCTTAGTAGATGATCCCCAGAATAGCATTTAGGTGAAACTGAAAACATGTCACAAAGAAATAGAGGTCTCATGTTGAACATTGAGAGGATTTTATATGAGAGATGGACTGTGTCTGTGCCAGTTGTTTGTTGCCCTGGAAAGACAGACCTGACTGCAGACTTTTCTGGTTTGACCGGTCACTTAACTGTGTTCTGAGGCTGAGAGGAACTTATGGCTATTTTCTAGTTTCATGGAGTCATAAAATAGACTCTGCTGTAAGGCACACCATTTTGTCTATGTGTTTACTTCTGTTTTGGCATTGTTAATAAGCTGTGGTTCTTCATATCGAGTACTACAGTTTGTGATCTGCAGTTAGGCAAGGCCATATGCTGAACACAGAAGTTGTGTGAGGTATCCTAGATTGCTGCTTATGGTAGAGAGGTCCATGGGTTGTGTTCAAGGGATATGCAAGTTCACACACTTGCCTCTCATGTTAGGATAGCCTTCAGAATCAGAGACAGGTGTGTTAATCATTTGACTGGAGCTCACCATATCTTTCTTCTGTCGTTAATTGCTACCTTGGCCATGATTTTCAGGTTAGGTAAGGGTTAAGGAGAGTACCAAAGTTTGGCTGGGTTGAAGCTTGCATAAACTGAGACCAGGTGACACCAAATGCTCTCTTTGTAGATCATTGTTGAACAGTCCCCTATTTCTTGGCTGAAGGAAAGTTCAGGGAGAACACCAGAGTTATATGAGGAATCTCATAGAGGAGTCAAGCCTGCCTTAAACCTCTGGTGCTCTCCTTGGATCATCCTTGAGGGGAGAGATAAGGATAGTTTAACAATCATCTATAAAACAACAATTGCTATCATGTGCTAATTTCAAAAAAGTACTCATCTCTAGGTAACACATTCACCATAGTTCCTGCAGAACAATGCTGATTTTACCCTTTCTCTTGGCACACCATCACTGGCTGCAGAGCAGAACAATTGCCAGCGTCTCAGTGTGAACACTGTGTGTCCTAACCTTGTTCTTTGTTTCTAACAAGTCCAAAGAGTTCAAGCCATGCTAATACTTCCCATGGTTCTTCTGGGGCAGATAAAAAAAGACCTCCTGAGAGGGATCACAGAATAACGAAGAAGCTGAGTGTCTGCCTTCAACTCCCTCCATAAAAACAGCCACTCTCAGAAATCTTTCTTTGTTCCAATCTGTGCCAGCTAGGAAAAGAAACAAGGCTGTTAGAATGAAAGTCTCTTTGTAGCCTCTCCAGGTGGCTGTTCTCAGTTCTACAGTCCAAGTGAATATCTCAGCCTCATTGCTTCTATCATTCACGACAGTATTCCTATTTATCCATGTTTATACCTGGATTTTTGTAGAGAGGAACGGGAGAATTCTTCCATATCATGAACATCACTTCTCTCATGGAATTTTAATAGTATTAATTCATGCAATCCATGCATGTGGAGTAGCTTTCTATTTATTTTTGTCAATTTGCTTTCCTGGTGTTATTGTATTAGAGCATTCTGTGTATAGATCTTTCCACTATTTTATTTCTAATTATTTTTAATTTTAAATAAAATTGTTAAATAAATTCTAATCTGGATTCTTTTGAGTAAATAGCTTGCTATTGGTGCATACAAACCCTGCTGATTTTGGTAAGTGGGTTTTTTATTAAAGAATGAAACATGAAACTACAGAGCAATTACAAATTTATATAGGAGAAAAGATTCTGGATATTTGCTTTTGAAAAAATGAATTTTTACCCTCTAAGGGAAAATTAGATAAGTGTGACTGCATCAAAATAAAGAACATAAAGAGTAAAGGAAACAAGATTGGAAAGACACTTTATAAAAAGGGAGAAAATAATTGTGAATAATACATCTGATTAGGAATTAATATCCACAGTACTCCAGGAACATGAACTGCTTGACTGTAAGAAAAAAATACCGCAACTTAAAAATAACCAGAGGAACTGAATAGATATTTCTCAAAAGAAGACACATAATGTCCTATAAATATAGGAAAAAGTAGCATCAGTGATCATCAGAGAAATGCCAATTAAAATGTCAAAGAGATATCACCTCTTACCTATTAGATTGCCTGTCATCAAAACCACAAATGAAAGCAAATACTGGGAAAACACTTATCTACTAATTGCAGGAATGTAAATCAGTACAGTCATTGTTAAAAATAGGAGAGCAATTTCTCTAAAAATTTAAAACAGACATGCTTTATGATCCTATGTGTTAGATATTAGTATATATCCCAAGGAAAACAACTAACATTTTGAATAGATGTATGCCCTCCATGTTTATTACACCATTATGAACAGTATCAAAAGGATCTAATCTGACTTAGTATCCATCAATGGATAAATAGATAAGGAAAATGTAACATGTAAACACAAGGAATGCTGCTCAGCATAAAAAGAGAAACAAATCCTTCCATTGTGAAAAGATGAATGAGCCTGGAGAACAGTGTGTTAGTTGAAATAAATCAAGTAAGAAAACAAAATGTTTGATAAACATAATTCTTTTGCACTTTTCCGTAAATCTTCCAAACACAGAAGCCATTTGCTTCTATCAGGTACAGTTAGAAGAAATAGTAGATCCCACAGACAGGAAGATGAGAACTAGAGTGTTCTACCACTCCTTCTTCATCTTAAGAACACTTGTCACTCTCATCACCTCTAGAGTTGTAAATTCCTCTCTTCTCCATGCTCACTGCTCCACTGGTCCTGATATTGCCCCTGGGGTGAAGGGCAGGACCTTATGGAGTTTTCATGTTCCTTTCCCACATATCATATTTCTTCACCTCTGTTAGAGAAAACTAAGGAATCCATGACCCCCTAAAACATGAGACTGGGCTCTTAAGTTTGAGGGTTTGTAAACCCTTTTGAGATAGCAGTAGTGTTATCACATCAAAGATATCATTTTCTGCAAAGTTCTCATGGGAAATAATGTTTCATGCACATCGCCATATTACTACTGCTGATGAAGGAAAGGGCACAGAGTCTGTGAATGAATGGACAAAGGTGTGCAGCCTGTTTGAGGAAGAGTGGAGGGAAATACTGTAACAGTCACAAGGACATCCTTGTTCCACCTTCAGGCACGTGTCCAGGAACACACTGCAGCAGGCACCTAGAATGTGTCAGGCACTGGCACCTCCCCTGGTTGCCAAAGCCATATCATCATCAAATGTTGCATCATACCTCCTGCACAAGATAAAAAGGTTCCTGCCCAGGCTTCTCTTCACAGCTTCTTCAGTCACAGCTGTCTTTCGTGGCATCTCCTCTGCATCTGGTGAGTGCTTGCAGGGGACAGAGTTAGGAGTGCAAATGTGGGAAGGAATTTGAGGAAGGGGCTCATGGAAGGCAGCAGTGGGGAGGCTATGGTGAGGGAGGAAGAATCCTCTCTAGTGCACTTGAGGGAGCTGTGAACTATACAGGGCACAGGACCTGGTGTCCTTCCCATTCTTGTTCTGACTGTCTACCCCGAGCTCCAAATGATCCATGTTGCATCTTGGAAGACCTTATCCAAGTGCCTGTGCCCTCTATAGGATACCGTCTCCTTTTCACAGATATTGGCTTACAAAGCAGGTTGGATGAAGGAAGGACATTTAACAAACTGAATGAAAGACACTGTTATGAAGTTTCTGGGTTTAAATATTTGCATTTTATTTCAAGGTAAAATTACCACCAAGATGTCCTGCCAGCAGAACCAGCAGCAGTGCCTGCCCCCTCCCAAGTGCCCCGCCCCCAAATGCCCCCAGAAGAGCCCAGCACAGTATCTACCTGCTGCTCCTTCCTGCTCTGCTCCCAGCTCTGGGGGCTGCAGTGGCCTCAGCTCCAGCTCTGAGGGAGGCTGCTGCCTGAGCCACCACAGGCGCCGCAGGTCCCACAGGTGCAGGCTCTGGAGATCAGACTCCTGTGATGGCGACAGTGGTCTGCAGTCTGGAGACTTTGGCTGTGGCCACAGCTCTGGGGGCTGCTGTTGACCTGAAATCTGATGCTGAGACAAAAGATTTCAGAGGTTACAAGAATCCCAAGAACCACGGAACAGTTTCATCTTGATGCATCTTTCCAATATGTGCTGCCCTGGCTGTTGATTTTTCCCAGTAGCTCTTTCTGTCAAAAATATCTCACACTATTGCTGAGGATTGTATACTTCACTGTGCCTCACTCTGTCAAGAAATAAAAACTTGCTATTTCTTTACCACTGACATCTTATGGTCATTTCACCTTGACTCTCCCCAGGTGGCTGGTCTGTGCCCTTGTCCTCTGCCTCTCAGATCTGCTGCTGCCACAAAGATGGTGCGGAGTCATTGCTCTAGAAAAACAAAAAAAACAAAAAAACCCCTGGAGTCCGTTCTTTTCATGGTGAATTTGTGAGGCAGCAAGGGAGAGGACTATGGCCTCTGAGGAAGGAAGCCTTTTCCAAGCAAAGTGCATGGCTGTTCATCTCATAGGAACTGCGCAGGCTCCTCTGATGGTTTTTGCATACTTTTTTGAAATTATTGCTTACATTTGATATTTTTTGATAAGCCGTTACTGGCATTTAATTTAAGAAACAGTGAATTTGTAGTCTATAGTTATCTAGCAACTATAGTAGTTTGATGGCTACCTCCAAAAAACCAGGTAGAACAGGATATTCTTTTCAATGGTAGGAATTTTGTCTCTCTAGAGGCCATTAGGAAAGACATTAGAATATTTTTGGATGCCAAAACTGCAGCTTAGAAAGAACATCAAAAGCACAGTTTAGCTTCTTATAACATAGAATAATCTGTCCCCAACTACTAATAATGCAAAGTTTAAGAAAAGGACAGCCTCAGTAAAAACAGAAAGCCCCAAATACCCAATAATATTCCCCCAAGAGATGACTGTGGGCAATGAGTTAAACGTTAAAGATGGATGCATCACTGGAGAGATGAATGAGACCGAGTTTAGAAGATGTGATAGTATGAAGAATGTAGCCTGAGACTCACAACACAAAAATAACATGAAAAGTGTTGATAAGTGTTATAAATTAGCATAATTATGTGATTAAAAACTTATTCAGTTCTCAGGTTTGGGAATCCCTAACTGCACAGTGTAAACTCCTTTACTATCTAAGCGATCTATACATTAAATGCATTTAATAGTAACATTTCACAAATAGTGAGATCTTTGACCAACTTTCTCCATACTGAGATCCAGGTCACACAGCAAGGAAGTAAAAGCTCTTGGCCAGTCACCACTTCACTCCCACTTGAGACTTTGGAGAGCTATTCGTTAACAAGGAGTCTTCTCTAATTGACATCTCCATAGTGCTATCTGGCTGTGTTCTGTTTTAGTTTTATTTGATATTCTAAATCTGCAAAGTTAAGAGCACAAAGCGTGAAATTCTTAAAAAAAATTTTTCCCACATTACGGATGTAGAATATGAAAATCACGTGCGGCCTAGGCTGAAATCATCTCCTTAAGGATGAGTCCCTGTTGTGTCTTGTTTGATTTTATTATATCCAATGGCATAGGCAGCTATTTCAAAGACAACAAGATATATTATGGTAATCATTTTGAGTTTACTATTGTCATGTTTTGAAATCCTTTATTGTGTTCATTGCTGTGTTTTTATTGGTTCTATTTTGTTCCATTTGGTTTTATTTTTACTATATCTGAAGATATGAGCAGCTGTTTTGAAGACAACAAGAGGCATTATCATAACCATTGTTGATTTGCTATTATCTTACTTTGAAGTCCTCTTTCACTTGCACTATTGTGTTTTGATTGACTTTATTCTGTTTTCATTTACTTGGTTTTATTCTTTTTAAAATAAAAATTGCAAACAAATTTCCAATTATAAAAATTTGGGAAACTGATTTGAGACTAGGTGTACCAAGCAAAAAATTAAATCTATGCACTTCTGTTTCTGACCGGGGGAGAGTTTCCTCAGATCTGTGGACTTCATGGCTCTCTGTTCACCTGGCAATAAATGAAAGCAGATTTTCATCTGCCGACCATGCAGAACACATCCAGGAGCAAACAAGGAATAATTCATTCATTCAAAAATAGTTTATTGAGTATCTGTTATTTACAGATTTGCTTTGAAATGCTGGGGATAGAGAAAAAACAATAGTAAGGTGCTCTTCTCAGTCATGTGTTCAAGTGCCTTTACTGGAGACAGTCTGCTAAATTTATTAATCAGCTAGCACACTAAGGTACAACCACCCCTGGTGTAGCAGATTTCTTTACCTTTTGAGGTGACAGTAGAAGTTTATTAAATACCACGAAGGTCCATAGCCTGGAAAAACATTTACAATTTAGTTTATTGCTTTTCAATGGAAGCAACATTTTTACCACAATTCATGTTATTAGATAAATTAAAGAAAAATAAAGAATGAAGTGCTGGGGCTGGGGATTTAGCTCAGCAGCATAAGCGCTTGCCTGACAAGCATAAGGTCATGGGTTCAATTCTCAGTAAGAATACAAAGAAAGGAAGAACAGAACAGAACAGAAAAAAATGCAGTGCTAAATTTGAAGAGGAGATATTGGTGAGAAACAAGCCTATTTTCCATGCCATTTTCAGCCTCTCTAGTTCACTGGCCCCAAAGTGTTCCCCAGAAAACCTGTTTGCAGGTGCTAAGGAATTAGCTCAGTTGCATAATCGCCTTTCTGACAAACACAAGGTCCTGAGTTTCCTTCCTTGTAACAAATGAAAGAAATAATGAAAGAAATGAAAGAAAGAGAGAGAGAAAGAAAGAAAGAAAGAAAAAGAAAGAAAGAAAGAAAGAAAGAAAGAAAACCTGTCTGCAAAGTGCTGTGAAGACGGTTCCAATCTCTTTCTAATATAATTTGTCTGCACATGGTCAGCTGCAATTCTAGGTCTTCTTGTAGCAGAATAAACAGAGACATTTAGTCTAGTGATGTTTGACCAAAACCTGTATTTAAATTACATCAATGATATGAGAGATTTGTCTTCTTCTTAAATTTGATCATGTTTCTGTAAAATTCACAAAATGTCTGCACAGCTAATTTAAGTGCAACTTCTACACACAATTTCTACACACAATGCAATTTCACCATGACATCCATTGTATTATGTAAGAAGTCTGGATACCGCTGACGCATCTATCTAGTATCTATTATTATTTACCTTCTAACTAAAAAAGTCCGTCTTTCAGCAAGATTTATGCTGGCTTTCCCAGGCTCAGTGACTCAGCGCTTTCTCTGACTTTTTCATGAAAGAAATTTAAAAACACATGAAAGGCTTTTGAGCCATGGCTTATCAGATGTAGGTTAGACTTCCACTCTAACATCAAGGTTGACTGTGTTCGCATTACATTGTAGCCTTCCCAATCCTCAACACCTCTACCTTCGGATAGATATCAACTGAGGAAACAAGGAATCCATTTCACCACGGAGTGTTCCTAGAGAGTGTTTTGTGCTGACCTTTTCTATGCTCTGCCCCACCTCAGACTTCTGCTCTATTTACATCCCTTCTTCTGTTAGGGATACCATTGCCTACAGTATTTCATGGGTCCCTCTCCAGTGTCCCCCTGAAGCTGCTGCTAATATAAGGAGGTAGGATTTCTCATCTCCTGTCTCTGCAGCTTCCCAGTGTCATCAATGATTGCCTGATGACCTTACCACCATCACTCCTAAGTGATACCAAATGGCAGCATTTCAACACACGAGGTACATAGGACTGACACCCAGCAGCTCCTGCCTAAGCCTGCAGACTTCTCACACATGTTCATTACTCTTCTCACCCTGGCTCATAGTTGCATGATTACTTCATTGTCTACCCTGTTACCCACCTGAGCAGGATCATATCATATTCACTTATGATTAAACACCTTTATAGCTTTATGGATTGTGTGTCTACTGCAGTGCTGTTTCTACAGTGTCTATTAGTTTTCTAAAGAATTAAAAGAAAAATAAAAAAGAAAAGTCATTATAAAAGAAAGGGAAATGAAGACAACAGAGAAGAAAACAAAATTACAAGGTTAAAATGCAGATATTTGGATATTCTAGTGGTAAATTTCTCATAAGAAAACTTACTTTTTCTCTCCCCTGCCTCTCCTTACCACTAGAACCTGCAGACTACAGTGAGACACATAGTACCTGGTGGCCCGTCCTTACCTGACCCTCCATGGGCCACAACTCCCTCTGACACCTGCATCTTTCCCCGTAGTGTTGAGACAGATCACAGAGCATCAGTCACTAAGCCACTCCTCTGGTCAGTCCTGGCCTCAGGCAAAGCTCCTGGCCCACAAGTGTGTCACAGAGAGGTGAAAAGCTAGAGAGGAGAGTTTTAAGACAGAATGACAGAAGATAAGTCTGGAGAAGGCAGCTGGCTACTGATGGGGCAATGAAAATTACTTCTTACTGAAAATTTTGTTTTCCTGTGGACTACAGGATGATAACCCTAAATAATCTCGTTCCCCAACCTCTGATTTCTTTCTCTTCTCCCCCTCATGACATGTTCTTCTAAAAACTAGCTGTGCATTAGAATCACCTGGAGAAAGTTTAAAAATCTTAAACTTTGCTTCAGCCCAATCAGACTTTGGGAGTGGGCTCACATCCCAGTAAGTCATTAAAATTTTCCAGATGATTACAGTGTGCAGCGAATGTTGAGTCGGGGAGAGAGGTTCTCAGTTGTCTCCATAAATATCACCATCTGGTGTCCTTTCTCTCCTACCCTTCCAGCCCACTTCTTAGACCCCCTTGGTGTCTGCACGTGGCACAATGGAGCAAAATGATTTCGACTCCAGCTGCCTGCTCTACATCCTTGACACGTGCTTTGCATCCCCTCCCACCACTGCTCTGGACCAGGTCTTGAGGCCAGCTCAAGTGTAAAAGAAAGAGATCATACACAAGTTCCCACAAAGGCTCACTGAAACTGGAGGTTTTGAGGTGATAGAAAACAGAAAAACACACAGTAAAAGTTTTGTCCTTCAGGACATCAATTCTACCATAAAGTAGTTATATTAAACATATATATGTTAAATATTCCAAATTAAAGGCAGAAATTGACATAAAGGCTAAAATAGAATGATCCCCCAGTAGACAGTTTACAAAAAACATGCAGTGACTAAAAGTACAAGGCAGAGCCACATATAACATGCAACAGTAACCAAAAAAATTAGCCAGTGTCACTAAGCTTTCATCAGACAAGATATACTTAAGAGAAACGCATACTAGAGACAAAGAACAATATTTTGTAATGAT